GAAGGAAGGAAGGAAGGAAGGAAGGAAGGAAGGAAGGAAGGAAGGGCCTGGAAAGGAAGAGCTTGGAAAGCTGAACAGAGGATTTTATATTTGATCCTGGAGGCAAGGAAACCACTGAAGTTTATTGAGGGGATGTATGGGAGTGGGTTCCATAATCAGTCCTGTGCTTGAGGAATAACACTTTGGCAGTTGAATGGAGGACGGAATGGAGTGCGGAGAGATTTGAGAATCAAGACCAACTCTACAGCTTCTTTAATGGGCAAGAGTTAATAAGGGCTTGCACTAGGGTGGTGGCTGTGTAAGAGAAGGGGACATATACAAAAGACTGGAAACAGAAACAAGTTTTGGCAGCTGATTGGGTATGGGCAAAGAGTGAGATCAAGGATGACTCACCAAGGTGCTCAAGCTGGGTGACTGGAAGGATGGTGGTACACTACGTGGTAACAGGGAAGTTTGGAAAAGCGGTGGGTTTTGGGGGGAAAATAAGATCTGTTTTGGCCACACTGAATTTGACATGCCTTGGGAACAAAGTTTTCTGAGAAGTCAAGAGAAGGAAGATATAGCCACAGCATTAAAAAAAAAAAGAAAAAGAAAAAGAAAAAACAATGACATATAAAAGAGAAGATCAGTGCTATTGTTCAAACCAAAAAGCATTTATTAGTTGTCTATACTAGCCAGACATGGGGCTCTGGGAATACAAAGATAAAAATAAGTCAGTCCTCACCCTTCAGGAACTCATGCTGTCCTCCCACAAATGGGGAAGAAAGACAGATTCATCAACACAGATGGTCCATCTAGGATGGAAGAATGCTAGAAATGCAAGGGTCTTTGAGATCAGTGTATCCATTTATGGCACAGCACAAACCCAAGATGACAAAGGTTTTGACTTGCCAATACCCAAAGACACAGGGTGTGTCAGTGATAGAAATGGGACAGCAGTCAAGCTCCCAGGCCAGTGCTCTTATCTCCAGCATTTTGCCGTAAGAACTCCTTTGAAGAGAGTTTGCAAAACACATCCTCTAACAAAGGACAGTGGATTTTTGTAGGAATGATTCAAGGTCAATATAGCAGGCTCTTTTAAAAGACTGAAATAATTGACTTGCAATAGCCAATTTTGTTTAAGCTGCCTCGACAGTCAAACTAGATCTCCCTGGTGTTGATGCATCATTGGCTACACAACTGAGCATTAGAACAGGTGAAAATGCCACATATCTACTGTATCACATAGAGCTTAAGTATGAAAGTCCAGAGAGCTGGTTCTGAACATTTGATGCCTGGAGCTGCCACCTAGCATCCTTTTGCTCTGCTCCCTGCTGGTGGATCCTTGGGCCAGGGAAGCAGACATCAGGGCAACATAGATTTAGAATTGGAAAGGACATTGGAGGTCATCTAGCCCAGGGCTTCTTAAACTTTGTCCACTGGCAACCCCCAGCACTTCTTAAACTGTGGGTGTTCCCGACCCACAGTTTAAGAGGCGCTGATCTAAGGCAACCCCTTCATTTTATATATGAAGAAACCAATAGGAACCAGATTCCAAAAATGTCAAAATTTTGATATAAATCAAAGCATGAACCTCCTCCCAGCTGTATTTCCTCAGGTTATTGCCACGCCTCGACACAGGAGGGTGGGGACTTGGACACAGCCTGGGGAAATAAAGGGTGGTGGGGAATTTTAGAGGTGGATAACTGGAAGAGGTGATCTATTCTTCTGGACACTAAACACTGAGGCTGAAAGGTCACGATTATGTAAATCAGATCCTGCCTAAAATGGCCCAGGAAAGTTCCCTCTTCAAAGGAACCCTGCAAAAAAAAAAATTCGGATTTTCAAAATAAAGGGCTTGGTGGATTTGAACAGGCTGAAGTTCTTTTCTTGGGGAATAGAAGAAAATGAAAAGATGGAAGTGAGAGGAGGATAAAGGGGAAAATTCGAGGTCACAGAGAAGCTTCTCAGGGGGCCAGAACCCCAAAGCTTTCTCTCTTGTGGGGGAATCCGACTGTGAGATTCCAACAGCCCAGGCTTTTGCCGGCTTGCTGAACGAATCCTTGGGCCCAGTCACCTGACTTCCTATCCTGTGGCCAACTGAGCTGCCAGGTGTTCCTTTTGGAGGTCCGAAGGACGGGGCTGAGGGGGGAGATGTGGCGGGATGTGGGGGCGTGCGACAGAGCCGGAGTGATAGCTGCAGCGCTGGAGGCAGCGACGCGCAAGAGGCTGCCGGGGCGGAGGGGGTCCTGCTCGCCCCGTGCATCAGCCCCTCAGCCTCTTGGGGCAGCCCCAGGCCAGGCTTGGGCGGTTCTTACCAATCTCGTCTCCATGCCCCATCTTTGCCAGGGCGAAGAGCAGCTCCGGGGAGAGCAGCGCAGGGATTCCCTTGAGCACCACCATGGTCCGGGGCGACGTGTAGCCACCTGCCTCGTGGCCTGCCGGAGTGGGTTGGGACCAGCTGGGAGGCGAGGTCCTGGCGGACCTTCCGGAGCAGCGAAAATTGTTTCACTTTCGGAGGGGTGGGGCGATGAGACAATTAAAAAACAAGAGCCCATGGGCGGGCGGACCGGGATCAGTCCATACGCGCCCTTGAGCATCACCAGCCCCCACCCCTGGCCTTGCTTTTGCCCACAGGGCAGAGCAAAGCCGGAGTCTCACCGTGGGAGGGAGTCTGAGCCCTCCCCCAAGGCTGCTCTCAGCGACTGGACAGTGGCCACCTGAAAGTGCATCGAGCTTAGGAGGGATTCAAACAATCACCGAATGCTAGAACTGGGAAGGGGCCTTCTTCCCAGGGCATTTCCTCCAACACCTTCAATTTACCGGGGAAGGAATTAACCGCTTAGAGAAGTGAAGTCAGTGGCCTAAGGTCACACAGGTAATATGTATCAGAAGCAGGTTTTGAACCTAGAGCCCTGACTTCTAATCCGATTAGTCAGAAATGGGACCCGATCTTCTGTGTCGTTTGACTCCAAATCCAACCCCCTCTCCACTACACCAGGATTTCTTTCGCTGTGGCCGCCCCGTGGACCTGATCGTATTAGTATTTCCACTGATAGTATTTCCACTATTATTATTATTTGACCGCTAGGGTCAAATGTTGCTGTTTGTCCTTCGTTCTTGAAGAGGACCATGATGCCATGACATACAGGTGAATTGGATTTAAGTGAGAGAGGGCTGTGCCACTTCCTCCTCCAGAGCCATGTGGGTCCAGTGGCAAGGGCTGACTGAATCCTGGAAACCCAGTCATGTCCCCCATACCAGCCTGACTCCCAATCTAACCGTGGCTCCTTCCCTCCCACCTGAATCACGGAGACTGGAAAGTCTATGAAACCCCTTGGACCAATATAAAGCTCTCAGATGTCACTATTACTTCAAAGAAAGCACTAGCCTTGAAGTCCTAAAACCCGAGTTCTAATCTCTCTTGGATTTACTACCTTTGTTACCTTGAGCAAGTCATTTCATCTTTTCTCCCTTTCCTCATCTATAAAATGAGGAGGTTAGACTAGTAAACCTCTAAAGCCTTTTCAAGTCTAAATCTTAGAAGCAGTGTTACCTGGGTAGAGATGAAGTCCTGGTTTTCAAATTTCACCTTTAACACATACTGTCTGTGTGACCCCAGGCCAGTAACTGGATGTCCCAGTGATCTAGAACAGTGGTGACAAAGTCAAATAGAAGTAGGAGGAGGGAGGGGTCACTAAATTGTACACCAGGATCCCAGAACGTGCATATTGACCTAGAAAACTTCATGTTATCATTATCTAAGTTCTACTGTATTTTTATTTTGTCAACTATTTCCCAATTGCATTAGAAGCATTGTGCCCTGGGTTTAACACCTCTTCTCTAGACAACTAAGGCTAGAAATTACCAGAAAGGTGCATACTGGTAGCAGAGCTTCCTCACCTTGGAGTTCCCCATACCAGTGAAATCACAGGTTTAATCTCTTCTCCTATAATCTGTGATTTCATTGGTATAAATTTTCTGTCATCCAACACAGTTTGAAACCCTGCTGTGGAGAGAGTCACGAGCTGCAGTGGCCGAAGGAGTCTGGAGAAGGTGGAAACAGATCCCCCGGTGGCTAGACTGGTCTTGGAATGACCAACATTACGTGCTCTATGCTTTCTGGATTACCAGCTCTCTGGCCAAAGCTTGCACATTCCTGTCATTACCTTTTAACCCAGGATGGCCTCCACACCATGATTACTCAATCAATCAAAAAATCACTTATTAATCAATTGCCCACTAAGTACCACGTACCATACTCAGATGTGAGTTCACATAATGAAATGAACCTGACTCAAATTACTTACACAGAGGTTAACAAGTACATATAAAGAATAAGAATTTGGAGTAGGACCTTCAAGGAAAAAATATGTTTTTTATTATTCTAAAAAGCCTGAGTTTTGCTTAGGCACTAGAAGTCTGCTAGTTTCTCCAAGAGAATAAGTAAATGAAAGCAAACCTGAAATGTTTGCACTGAATAGTGGTGAGCTGTTGTCCCTGGGGACTGCAGGGCTTTGCACTGTGGAAATTCATTTTGAGGTATGGCCTGTACTAATGGTGCTGAAGTCTGTTCCAACTCTGAAATTCTGGGATTCTTTGAATTGTTCCAGCCTGTTTAAGGGGAGGAAATCTGAGTCTCTTGGCACTGGAAACCAAGCAGCAACTGGTATCTGGTATTCACGGGGAGCCTGGGCTGCTGGGGAGGAATTTTGTGCAAATGGAACCCCAGAAATAGTTGTGGGACACAACAAATTCAACTGAACAAATTCAATAAGAATTTCTTCACTTGGTCCAATGCATCATGCTAGGGGCTGGAGGATAATGAGCTATCTCTGCCTTCAAGGAGGTTTAGTCTAGTTGGGATAATCAGACAGATGACTATAAATTAAGTTAGGATAAGAATAGTGCTCAAAAAGGTGTTTTTTGTTGTTGTTCAGTTATGTCCAACTTTTCATGACCCCACTTGGGGTTTTCTTGGCAAAGATATTGGAGTGGTTTGCCATTTCTCCTCATTTTACAGATGAGGTAAACAGGATTAAGTGACTCGCCTAGGGTTACACCGCTAGTGTCTGAGGCCTCATTTGAATTCAGGTCTTCCTGACTCCAGGCCTGTTGCTCTATCATCCACTTTGCCATCTAGCTGCAAAGTACTATGAGAGCTTGGGAAAGAGGGAGATAACTTGGAAGAAGGGAAGAGGAAAGAAGATTTAGAATGTAAGCTCCTTGAGGGAAGGGACTGTTTCATCTTTGTATTTCCAGACCCTAGCACAGGCCCAGTTTTCTACTCCCTGCCCCTTAGCTGCCCACGAGCTATGGCTCACCGCAGCCATCTGGGCTGCCATCTATCTGTCTTGAGTCACCGTGTACCTTGATCCTTCGTTTCTAGGCTGGCAAAAAAAAAAAAAAAAATCTGGCAAAGACTCAGGCTTCCAGACATCTGGTAGTTTTCCATATTGACCTTTGATCACAGCTGTATTATTCATTCACTTAAAAGCATGAAAGAGCAAAAGAAAAGAACAGAGATCCACATCCAGAGGCCATGTGCTGGGCCTGGACACAGTGGGGTCTTCCATTATACACCATCACACCTGCCTAGAAGCAGGCTCCAGAGGCTGGGCATGTGCAGATGGAGTTTCCACTGGCCAAGCCTCCATTACTTCTACATGAGGAGAGAGGCTCAGGGAGGTTCAGTCATTTGTCTACATTTGTAGAAGCAGATAGTTGTAGCAGTACATAGAATACCAGATCTGGAGTATGGAAAACCTGAGTTAAAATCCAGCTTCAGACACTTACTAGCTGTGTGACTGTGTGCAAATCACTTAAGCTCTCAGCCTCAGTTTCCCCATCTGCAAAATGGGAATAATAATAACAGCACCTTCTTCACAGTGTTGTTGTAAGGATAATATCTGCAAAGTACTTTGCAAACCATAAGGCACTACAAATATGCTAGCTATTATTTTTCATGGGTGGACTTTGAACCCAGATCTTCTGACCCTAAAGGCAATGTTCTCAAGTCACTGTACTCATGAACCAACCTTTCTTCTGGTTCACTTACCCCAGTAATCTGTACTCAGGACTGTTCCTATTAACCATAAGTGTAAATTAACTATCATCTTTCCTTCCTAGGGAAAGGATAGTCTTAATGTATTTCTTTCTTTCGGATGAGGCAATCAGGATTAAGTGACTTGCCCAGAGTTACACAACTAGTAAGTGTCAAGTGTCTGAGGCTGGATTTGAACTCAGGTCCCCCCGATTCCAGGACCAGTACTCTAGCCACTGCACCGCCTAGGTTATCCTAATGTATTTATTTTTAAGCCTTGTTGCTATCCTTTCCAGAATCTAGAGATACCTCTGGCCACGCTTTCTCCTGTTGTTATTGCAACTTTAGAGTGGTGCCCTTCTCCTCCCTCTAACAGTCAGAGAAAATTTTAAAATAAAGAGGGAGATTTAGGTGATTTAAAAACAAAAGGCACCAATAAAAATAGTTAGAAATGCAGGTATCAGTAGTAGCAACCATATATCTTAACAGTTGTGTTTCCAGCCTTGGTAGAGGTATGGAAGTGCGGAGGGAGACGCCATTCTTCCATCCCTGATCACCGGCTGCCATCTTGTGGCCAGGTTGAATAATTTCCAACAAGAAATTCTACAGAGTAAGGTCAATATGGGAAGAAAGACCTTTGAGGTCTCCACTACTCCAACCACTTCATTTTATAGGTGAAGAAACTAGGGGGAGAGAAAAGGTTCCAGCTATGAGTCCCTCAAGGTCATGAAGCTGGTACCACATAGAAGAAGGACACAGGGAAATGAGATGATCTCCAAGGTCACATCTTGTTCTGGCAGCTACTCATGGTCTGGTTAAATTCTATGGATCTCAGTTCCTTGTGTGCAAAATGAAACCATTCGGACCAGTTGTCCTCCGGGTCTGTGGAATGGTCCACTTAATAAAGCAAGAAGTGTCTGCAAATACATATATAGGTAGATATCTCTATGTATACAAATATGTAAACACAAAAACACATACACATATATAGGTAAATATCTCTAGCTAGCTAGCTATACATGTTCTAATGCACATATATGTATATCTATACATATATAGGTATTATCTGTGTATACACATAGAGATATACATATACAGAGGAGCCAAAAAGTCTCAAGGCAGCTTTGTTATTAAAGCTTAAAATGGCACTAACACTTTTGTTTGCCCACAGATACATGTCTATATCTCTATCTCACCTACATCTATATCTCTCCTAATCCCATTCAATTAATTGACCAAAACTAAGAACAAAACTGTGCCGTTATCTTATTATTTATTGACCTTGAGACTTAAGACTTTAATAATAAAAATGTGCTTTCTTGTTACCTCTAACTGTACCATACAGAGGATAGAACCCATCCTCCTGGCTTAACTGATCAACAGATTACAAAGCAGTGTCCTGGGAGGATCCAGTCAGGAGCTCTAGATTCTTACTCTTACTCCACTCTCCAGCCAT